CCCCCCCCCCAAAGGAGTATGGGGCCGGACCACCCTAGCGTCGTGTCGGTGCTCGCGTTGCTCGCTCCTCGGATAGCACAACCACCAAAATAAATGTTACCACCTCGCTGACCTTTTTGGCCAGGGGAAACACTCCATATAGGTTTAGCTCTAACAAATGTTTTGTAAGTTCATTTTGTTCAGAATCCGCTGAAAAGTCTAGAATTGTCGCATTTTTTAAGCTTATGATTGTCTTATAACATTACATAAGTTTGTTCTACAGGAATTAATTGAGGTCATGTCCTGTTTCCAAAAGTCACCTGTTATTTAAGCAATATGTCCATTTATCGAAGGCCTGATAAAGCGGGGACCACTGTACTAGCAGCCGTGTTCCATTAAAAATTATTCAAACTCATTTAATTTTAAGTTTTTGTTTGATTTTTTAGGTGACCTGTTAACTCTCTCCATCTGCCAGTTAACTTGACGAAAATAGCTATGCTTATTATTCCACCACCCTCCCATGTGTTAGGTTCATTTGCACTCAAATATACTAATTGCTACTATTGTTGGTGTCAAGAAGTAATAAACATGCTTCTGTGAAGTATGCCCTACAGACTGTCACAATGGCAAATAAAAAGCTACCACTTGTCGACAAAATAAATGATGCCAACATCCATCGTTGTCTACCCTCTCTGATCATCTTAAATGTGCACACTTGGGATTGGTTGGCGTGCTGGATGATCTCACTAAATTATTTAATAGCATTATTCCAAAAATTGTTCAGTTAAAAATCAATGTTTCCATTTGGAATTAGCAATTAGACTTATTGATTTGTAATATTTCCAACAGGACGTAAGAACAATGGAACGAGTCCGAGCCATTACTGTGTTGCCTCAAGTAGTATTGCACGAAAAGTTCTTAGATCTTTGGAGGATTTGAAAATGATTGAAAAGGATGCAGCTGGGTCAGTATTGAGCTAATACTATAGTTTTTAATCAATATTGTAATGGAATTCACATATAGCTATAGTATATTAAATGTAAAGAAGAAAACATGATTATACTAGATATATATTTCAACATTTACAATCAATCATTGTGCTTAAATACAAAATAAATTTACATTTGACATTTGTAAAATTGTAATTTCTTCAGAAGATTAAACCTTAAAATCCATATTTATACTTGCATCTCACGCAGCAGGTTTTATAACACTAACATTATGACATATTTTTACCTCTATATTAAGGTTAAGGTGGTTTGTTGCCTGATCAGGTTATGATGAGTACTGTTGACTTTATTATGAGGATTGCACTTAATATGTCAGAATTTAATTTGCAGAGGCCGTAGGCTAACCAGCCAGGGGCGACGAGACTTGGACAGGATTGCAACCCAAATTAAAGGGAAACTGCCGAAGGTTGAAATTCAGTAGAATACTGTAAATGCTGATGTAAGAAAATAAAAAAATATACCGAATTTTATTGTTCCTAATTCGTTGTAACAGTTTTGTTCAGGGTGTCCGTATGACTTCACGTGCGTGCAATGATGGATGTGATGGAGCCATGTTTTGGTATTTTAAAATGTAACTTATTTAAAAGAAATAATGCATAATAATAGTGGTATGGTCCACATAGAAAGTAGAACATGGCAAAAACAATAGCCTAGGGTGTGCAATACATTTTTTCTTCATTTTTATTGCTCCCCTTCTATGATTATGTGTCGGCTTATGTATTAGCCTTCTCCCTAGTCACTTCCACTACTATGTGCACATATCCAAGAACTGCACTATCACTAGAGACATGAGAACTATGTGCATAAAACATCTAGTTTAAAATTAGTAGTAACTAGTACTTGGTTAAAATTGCATTGCTTATGAACACTGATTTCTGTCCTCACACATTGAAAGAGGGTCCTGGCATGCATTATTTATCTACCTTACAAAGTTAATATACAGTCACAACTTGCTATCACAGAAGAGAACAATTTAATTTAAGTGAAACTGTAATTTTTTGTTGAATCTAGGTACGAAATAACTATTTTTCTTGTTGCATTTATAGCCTTCACACCACATTTTATAATTATCTAAAAGACCTGTACAACATCTCATGGTTTTCTTAAAAGTTTGTTCATCTGCCTTATTAATTACGGTATGCTCAAGAGTATCACTGGAGTTATCAAATAAAATATAATCTGAATTGATGTGCGCGATGAACTGGAATTCAAACGCTGCACTGTCACCGAGGGTAATGTTACACACCGCTTCAAATTTAGAGTAAATGTAACACAATAGAAGAGGTGAGTAAATAACTATATATATCTAAGTTTACACGTGAAGGAACTGGTAACTGAGTGTCACTGTACAAACTACAAGATCTCGCGCGTGATTCTTAATTATTATGAACATGTACATGTAAGAGTATGTGTTCATGCTATTATATATGACAAAAGGGCGTGTTACGTACAATATATTGCTACGAGCTCGCGTGGTACAGTATATATGTGCCATATCTTTATCTATCTTCGAAGAGAAGTATGAAATCAAGAGAAGTATTTAAATTATCGTGCCGGCAACCAAGGAGCTAAATAATATCAAGCTATATATATATCAGGGTCGGATCTAAGG